TAATTATATTTTAGATTTTTTATATTTTAAAATGAGATCTTTATCCTCTATTTGATTATGTTTATCCGCAATTAGTTACACGAATTCAAACATAGAGTTTTAATAAGTTGTACTTATGCATAATTTACTTGTAATCTTGAATTTCAAGTAATATGCATCAATATACAGTACTTCATGCATAAAAAATGGTTTTTAAGAGTTTTTGTCAAATGCTTTATAATATAGTATAGATTACTGTCACTATTATTATAAATAAATAAATAATCGTCGTATATTCTTGTTTAAATGATTAAATACACAATACCAAATTATTTATTTATTTAAATTTAAAAATATATTTTTAATTGGAATTGTGGGTCAATGTGATCTAAGAAGTACAAATTGCAAGTACTCTTAGTTTTCTATCTTCCATTCCTCCAATCCTCCAAAGGTTTTCAAGTGTACTACACTTTTAGGGTTCACAAATGTACTACATTACATTCTTCATTTCTTTTCTAATTTATTTCCTTTTTTAAATAAATAATACGTATTTTTATAATTAAACATTAACACGATGTATTTTTTATTAAAAAAATTGCTCCGAGAATCCAGATGATATTGTAATTAAAAGTCAACGGTTCTTAAGTCGTACTGTAGTTACAACTAACGTGATAGTTCTTGAGTTTACACCCTAAAAATGAACTATAGACCATCGTATTTTATTTTTAAAACGGCTCAGATAATGCTGCCAGAAATGGTCGGTATTAGACTTTCAGATATATACCCTACAACTGCTCTGACGTTACATTTTTTTAAAAGAGATAATACGTAAACTTTTTATGTTTTAAAAATAATGTGACGTATTTTTAAAAATTATTCGGCTCGGGGATCAATATATTGCAGAGGTCAATGGTTGCAAAATTTGTATAGAACAATCAACAGGTACTAGAACTAAAACATCTGATCTGATGTTCAACTTTCACTAAGGTGACATCAATCTATTGGAGTCACAGATACTGGTTTAACTGAAAGATTTATATGTGTTAGTTAAATGACAATTATTGGTATTAGAATTTTAGGATTTATATCCTCAAAATGTAACAAAATATTCTCTGCATCTATTTCTGTACTTGTTTCGTTTTAAAGATTTTAAAAATAACAGTATGTAATCAAGGACGTTCCAATCTTTTTGAAGACACTATCGCATTCTGAACTTTTGATGATATTGCATAAGAGATAACAACATGTATATTTGTTAAGCACAACAGGACGCTAATCCTAAATGATCAACAATCTGAACCTAAACCTAAACCTAAACCATTAATAATTTATATTTAAACCCAAACAATTAATAATTTGAACCTAAACAATTTGGACTATAACTTTATATAAATTGATGAAAATGCCCTTAACATGTGTAAAATTAGACCCCAAAATTTTGGACACTCTGTTTAAAATCTCACATTTAACATGTTAAAAGATAGTAATTTTTTATGATTTCTAAATCATATGACGTATTTGTAAAAATTCTGTCTTGATGCAATTAGAAGTCAATGGTTGCTATGATTGCATAGTTATAATAAATGAGAAGTATTTTTTTTTTATTAACATGGATATCCAACTTGTTATGTGAGCCGACTAATATAATTATAACATATGAGAAGTATTAAGATCATTTGCGATCATTAAATTTCTTTTGTAATGTTTTAATGTAAAACTAGTTTTTTCTAACCTTTTTAATGTAAAAGGCGGAATATTTTATATATAGTGAGTACAATAAATCCGATGTTTTATTATTTATAATATCAGTTTAACATAATACGTATCATGTATATTAAAAAGAGTTATGAAAAAAACAGGTCTAATGCAAGTTACAATATTCGGATATGCTTTTAAAACTTTATATATATATATATATATATATATATATATATATATAGAGGAGTGATCATATGAAAACCGTCCTTATTTGTGTAAACCGTGCAAACCACCTTCATCTGTCGATTTTATTGTTTAATCTTATGAAATTTTTTCATGAAATTGTTTAATCTTGTGAAATTGTTTAATCTTGTGAAATTGTTTCATATAATACTTATTTTGATGAAGTTGTTTCATATATGGCTGTGAAATTGTTTCATATAATACTTAATGAAACTGTTTCATGTATTTCTCTAACATTAATGAAACTGTTTCATGTATTTCTCTAACATTAATGAAACTGTTTCATGTATTTTTCTAAAATTAAAATAATGAAGATGATAATATCTATGATTAACACCCTCCACAATAAAAATGATTAATCAACCTCTCATAATTACAAAAAAATGAACAAAATGAAAAATTATGATTGGTTGAATGCGGTTTGCACGGTTTGTACAAATTGAGTGGTTTGCATTTGATCGCTCCCCTATATATATATATATATATATATACACACACACACTAAAAATGTATTATAGTATATCTGTTTCCTTTTCATATTTAAAAAAAAATACATTATATTTTTTTTGTTAATCTGGATATCCGACCCGCTATGCAAGCCGACTAATCTCAGGGTGACCACCAGCTTCGCGGGTAGTTTGCATTTGAACCTCCATGGCCACAAGAGAATTTTTATTTCTTCTTTGATTTGAACCTGAAACCTTAAGACACTTTTGATCTTTAGAGGCCAAACTCAAACCAATCCACCGTTGTGGTTTACATTATCCTTTATGATTTAAGGATAACATGACGTAGTAATAGAAATTATTTAACTCGGGAATCAAGATGTGGTTGCATTTCGAAGTCAAAGGATGTTAAAGATATGTAATTACAAAGTAAGCAGAGTAATTTTCGAGATTTATATTCGAATAAAAATAATTAAGTATGAGTCATATATGAATAAAATCCTATCAATTTATATGGTTTCCATATTATTTAATAGATAATTTCCTAAAATAATGAAACCCTATTATGGTTCAATATTTGGACGTGTAATATGGTAATTAATTATTTCTCATATTTAACCCTTGAAGATCCAAAAAGACTCAATTATGGTTCAAAATTTCTAAGTTATCCAATTTGTCATATTTAACCCCTGAAGAATCTTAATTATGGTTCAATATTTGGTAAAAGCATCTCCAACCGCTTCTATAAAATAGAAAAATGAGTTTTTATTCTCTAAAATGTTTCAACAGTTTTGCTATCTTGTTCTTTAAAATGAAAAATTATGAAGAAAACTCTAAATATAGCAAATTCTCTTAAACTTGATGTTGAGAGAGAGAATTGATTATTTTATTTAATTTTATAAATTAGATTAAATTATTATTTTTTATAAAAAGCTTTAAAAAAATGTACTGAGATAATAAATTAGATAATAATATAATTTTATGTTAAAATTTCTAAAATAAAGATGAATGGAATTCTTTTTTTAGAAGTTTTATGTTTTGTTTTTCTATTTTAAGTTGTTATAATATTTCTATTTTATCTAATTTGTCAGATTTAACCCCTGAAGATCCAAAAACCTACCACTTTTTACGTAACCGCATATAATATCTCAATTACCAAAAGAGTGGGGGGTTGGGTTGACATTTAGAGGATCCTCTCCTCTTTCATTTATATTAGAACATATATACCACATTTGCCCCCATTTAATTTCTTATGCAAAGAAATCTGAGTTATTGAAGAAGATGGAACGACTAACAGCAGTAAGAATGGTGTTGCTTCTTGTGTTCGTTGGGTGGCTCTTCATGTGGGTTATGCTGCCGACCAAAACCTACAAAGATTCATGGAAACTCACCCTCTCGGCTCGCCTAGGCTCGACTTACTTTCGCGAACAAGGTTTCGTGATTAATCGATTGCATCGTTTATATATATTCAATCGTCAAAATTGTTTTTGAATCTTAAAAAACGGATAGGCGATGATTTATAACCGTGTGTATGTGTTGTTCTTTTACAGGGACAAATCTTCTGCTTTTCTCGTTTCCGATAATGTTCTTGGCATCTTTGGGATGTGTTTACCTCCATTTTCAGAAGAAATCTTGTCCTGAAAGGTTGAAATATTGATGACTAGGATGCAATACAAGGTTGTATTTTAATTATAAATTACAACCCTGATTGCATCCGAGCATCTAGTTAGCTAGAAACGGGTCTTTCTTTCGGTTAAGCTTCAAAAAAGTGCAGATTTATGAATATTGATTGATACAAACTGATGGTTGGTGCAGTAATCTGAGCAGAAGAAGCTGGTTGGACTCATGGAACCGGCCATTGATTGTGATGAATCCTTTAGGGATCGTGAGTGCGATGGAGCTCATGTTTGCCGCCATGTTCGTCGTGCTCTTAGGATGGTCTCTAGGCAACTACTTGTACGTCAGCTTCGGCCACCTTCATATGCATACAGCATCAGAAAAAGTGTAAGTAATAATCTTCCACATCAAGAGCTAAATTGGTGTTCGATTTTCAGCTTACTTGATGAGATGCATCCATGACTTCTACTTTTGTTCTAGACCTGAAACTCCTATTCTAGAGATAGAACAGAAGTCTTACTGTTCTTCTAGACCTGAAACTCCTGTTCTAGAGATAGAACAGAAGTCTTACTGTTCTTCTAGACCTGAAATTTCTGTTCTAGAGATAGAACAGAAGTTTCACTGTTCTCGAAATGATAGCATGCACATGGATGCCACAGGGTCGACGACCTAGTGGCACCTAGGTTAATCAACAATTAGCAACCGGTTACAAGTAAAACCCAATATTTTTGGAGGTCAAGGGTTCGTCTGTATGAGTTTTACTTTATATAAATATTAAGTATAAACTTCAAACATGCATGCAGATGGGAAGCCAAGTTCCGTAGCGTAGGGTTGAGACTTGGGTATATCGGGAACATAACGTGGGCGTTTTTGTTCTTTCCGGTGACCCGTGGATCGTCCATATTACAGTTGGTCGGGCTTACATCGGAGTCGAGTGTCAAATATCACATATGGCTTGGGCATCTATCGATGGTTCTCTTCACTGCACACAGCGTTGGGTTCATCATCTACTGGGCCATCACTGATCAGATGGCTTTGGTACTTCTCCTCCTTCCAATTTTCCTTTTGAATTAATTGTGTTTTAGATGAATTAAAGAGAGATATTTTGATGCAAATAATTGTGAAGTGGCCAAGTGGGGGATGACATGACATCAAGCAAACTTGTTTTATGTGATTGGAATTGTATCAAATGTCTAGAGAATATGTCTCTTTTTCTTTTCAACAAAGATTTCTCATCTGATTCAAACTAAGGTTCCGTTTACCCGACGTTTATTTGGGTAAGCATTTATCAAGCTACGTTACTTTACCAGATGAATATGGTAACTGATAAGAACCAAAAATCTTACCCGATAAGAGCAAAACTATGACCAAAAGTCTTAACCGGTAAGTGAGAGTGACAGCTCTTACCATGGTTAGTGCTTACCGGGTAAATTGTTGCATACGATACTGCTTTTGTTAACTAAAATTTTATCCGGTAAGTAAGCAATAGTGTTGAATTTCACGGGTAAGCACTTACCGGGTAAGTGATTAGGTAAACGTCCCCTAATTGTTGACTAAGTGTTCACTTTTAAAAGTAAATAATCAAATTCTCAAATTTACCCTTAATTAATGCACAAATATTTAAGAGTTATGAGAAGAGAGAGAAATGAAATAAGGGTAAAGATGTCATTTGGTTATAAAAAATGTGTAATAATTATGTTTGTCTAAAGTGTGTCATTTTAACTCTGGACACTTATTTTGGAACGGAGAGCTGAGAGTAGGATTTATAGAGCGACTGTCTTATAAAATTTAAGGTTATGAGTAAATAATTGTGCATCTTATGTAATAATGTTACAATAATTAAGTTTATATGATGTTTTTAGAAGTCTTAACAAATTTTAAGAACATTTTTTTAAATAAAATGTCATGATAGTTTTTATTTGACACTTTTGAGACTATATGAACACATATTTTTATGGGACATTTTTTTATAAGAATTTTTAACTAATGTTATAAAAAAAATTAATAGGGCGATTTATTTAAAAAGTATTCTAATTTTTTTGTTAAGACGACAAAAAATCTTTTATAAACTTATTATAACACTTTTACATAGGACATACAAACATTTGGTTATATAAAATTAAGTCATCTAAAGCAGTTTATTAGATTACTTGGATACTTTTAGCATTCTATAAACCCGATTTTGTTTTAGTGATTCTTTTATCTGATTTTTAGTCGATAATTTGGTTTAAATTCATTGTGACATACAATTGATACAGATGCTGGAATGGAGCAGGACTTACGTTTCAAACGTAGCCGGAGAAATTGCGTTCATACTAGCGTTGGTTATGTGGGTGACGAGCATCCCTCGCGTAAGGCGAAAGATGTTCGAGCTTTTCTTCTACGCCCATCAGACCTACATTCTCTACCTCTTTTTCTACATCATCCATGTCGGAGTTGCCTACTTCTGCTTGATCCTTCCCGGGATTTTCCTCTTCCTCATCGATCGGTATTTGAGGTTCTTGCAATCACGAACAAACGTTAGGGTCGTCGCTGCCCGCCTCTTGCCTTGCGACACCCTTGAACTTAACTTCACCAAAATTGCTGGTAAGATAGATGCAAAATCTTTTAAGGCTACTACTTGGCCTACAAAATTGGTCTTTCAGGCATTCAATGGTAATAAAGTATTTAAAATCTTGTCTGATTGGTTTGAGCTTGTACTCCAAAGGTCAAAAGTGCCTAGAGGTCTCAGGTTCAAATCCAAGAAGGAATAAAAATTCTCTTGTGGTCATGGATGTTCAAATGCGGTAAATCCAAACTACCCGCAAAAAAGGTGATCATCCTCGGATTAGTCGACTCGCATAACGAGTTGGATATCCAAATTAATAAAAAAAAGTATTTAATTAGATTTTTAAGTTATATGACCTAACAACTATACGTCTTATAAAATCACATTACAAAAAATTATTAAACAACCTAACTAGTTCTATCGATGAACTATAACAACCTAGTAGAACTCAAAAAGTAGATCATCGTTGATCCGTTTGCTTTTGATCGACGGACGATCAGCAACGAAGGACCCCTTTAACGACGGATCAACGAGAGAATTTTCTCTTGCTGATACTCTTCATTTTTGTAGTGAAACTTGTTATATAGGACACTTTTTAACAGAACGATATACTTCTTGTGTCGTATTAGGTTATACAATTTCGTCGATAGAACTTGTTAGGTATCGATGACGGGTGTCGATTTCATCCATACCCAGAGATACAACTGAGTTCGAAAGAGGATAAAATGATGTGATATTTATTGCAGGATTGGATTATAATCCAGCAAGCATCTTGTTCTTGAATGTGCCTTCAATCTCCAAGCTGCAATGGCATCCTTTTACAGTGACTTCAAATGCGAACATGGAGCCTGATATGCTCACCGTTCTCATCAAGTGTCAGGGAACTTGGTCTCGCAAGCTTTATCAACACCTTTCTGGTTCTCCTATCCATCATCTTCAAGTCTCCGTTGAAGGACCCTATGGACCTACTTCATCACATTTTCTAAGGTTAAATATTCCTTCATTTATAACATATATATATATATATATACACACACACACTTAGGATCGGTCTGTTTTTGTAGATACGAGAATCTGGTATTGATCAGTGGAGGAAGTGGCATCACCCCATTCATCTCCATAATCCGCGAGCTTACCTTCCAAAGGGCGCGACAAGAACAACAACCCGATGATGAACACCACAAGCTCCCAAAAAGTGTCGTCTTAATTTGTGCCTTCAAAAACTCAGCAGATCTCTCCATGCTCGATATCTTGCTTCCATTAACATCAAACCTTACTTCCCGTTCATATCTTTCGGAAATAAATCTCGAAATACAAGCCTACATCACTAGAGAAACCGAACAGCCCCTTGAAAACACCAAGAAACCTCTTCAAACCATATGGTTCAAACCACACCCATCCGACTCACCCATTTCAGCACCACTTGGACCCAATAGTTGGCTATGGCTATGCGCCATAATCTCATCGTCCTTCGTCATGTTCCTTGTTTTGTTGGGGATTCTCACTCGATACCACATCTACCCTAAAGAACGCGTCCCAGAAGGTTCGGTCTACAATTACACCTTCAAGACTCTATGGGACATGTTCTTGGTGTGTGGTAGCGTTTTCTTGGCAACCAGTTTCGTGTTTCTGTGGCAGAAGAAGGAGAACAACAAAAAGGAAGGGATGAAAGTGCAGAACTTGGAGGGTGATCATGAAGTCGGAGAGGAGATCGAAAGCGTTGCTCATCGATCTGTTCTTGAAACGACTGAGGTGCATTTCAGCCGTAGGCCTGATCTGAAGAGTAAGTGCTGTAAACCCTTTTCACCTTGAATTAAGATGAAGATGAAGATGGGTGCTTAATGTGTGATGAAATATGGCAGGTATATTAATGGAGAAGAACAAGAAAGGATCAGCTACGGGGGTTTTGGTGAGTGGGCCAAGAAATATGAGACATGAAGTAGCCAAGATATGTTCATCACCAAATCAGGCCAAGAATCTTCATCTAGAAGCCATGAGCTTCAACTGGTGATGATAATGGCTTAATAATACTGTTTGTGGCTTCTACACGCAAGTTTATTACATAATTAAGTAAATAAATAATAACGGACAAAGGTTGCTATTCATACCTCTATCTCATTTATGTTTCATACCCCAAGTTCAGTAATATATCATCAAGGGTTGTTTGTTTACTTTTTAATAGTTTCATTAAGAGACAATCTCTGAATTATTAAAGTTGAATCTTGTTTGGCAAAAAAAAAATATGTCTCTTAACGGTTCTAAAACCATTTGAATGATTTTGTTTCATGAGATTTCCTTAATCATTCAACATCTTAATTTCATTGGAAACAATTATATTTAATTCTACACTATATCATGAGAGCCTCTTAATTATTATGACCGCTTAATCATTTTGCACCAAAGTATTCAACAACTGACAAACAACCCCTAAGAGTAATATATGTCGGTGATTACCGATGGATTACCCACAAATTACCAAGAAAGGCCCCAGATAACTTGTCACTAATTTGAGTTTCCAATCAATAATTTACTAACCAACTTTTGTTATGGTTTTGTGACGGATCATCTGTTAAAGCAACGGATTTCCTAAGGAAAATCCCGTAGAATTATCACGATTTATCTTTGTAACGAAAAATACAGGTTTTGAAAGTTTCCAAAATGGATTTCAAATCTATTCCAATCTCTTGTTTGATTTGTTGGATTGTCTGGGTTTGAAGTTTTAAAATTTAATTAAAATCCTACAAACATAGGATTTTGAAATCCTTAGCAGGTGCTTGGGATTTCACGGCTTTTTCATAGGATTATATGCAAAGAAGGTTCTAAAAATGTTAAAAACATTTGTTTTGTAATAATCGATTAATAAAAATGTAATTTAATTATTTTTATAATTTTTTAATGAATAATGTAATCCAATTTCATTCCAAATTCTACAAACCAAACACACGAATGATTTCAAATCCATTACAATCCAAATCCTTCCATAAAAACAATCATGTAAATCCAACGGACCCTTAGTAGTTATATTGGTTTTTTAACATTGAATCGTATATACATCAGCCATTGGATCTTAAATAATAGATAACTCAGATTCGAATGTGTATGTAACTACGTTGTAGAGATAACCTTGAGACGAACTATATCGAATAATCGAGTGTTTGATCAAGCTCCATTTCAATTTAAATGATTCGACATAATTCGATAAATAATTTAAATTATTAATAAATATTTTTTTTAAATTGTGGATCGAAATTGAAGCTATTAATTTCTAAGTATTGGTTTCTAATGAGAAATAACAAAATAGCATCTTCAATCCAATCATTAAAAAAACTCTAAAAATAATGGATCCTTTAAACACTAAAAAAACTCAATTTCAATTACACACTAAAAATATTTTTAATATTATAATAATAATAAAATTATATATATATATATATATATATATATATATATATATATATATATATATATGTAAAATTGACAGCTTTTATTTCCTTTCTCTCATGC